AAAATCAACTGCGGTCTTAGCCCAAAGGGTGTTATCCAGAATTGTGTCCGGTAGTTGTTTCCTCTCCTCTTCAGATACCGGTATGGTACTGGCCGGTAACTCATACGAGAGCCAACTTGAATCCATCATGTCCGGCACGTCAGAGGGTTTCTCAAGAATCCTACATATGACGCCATGTGAATCGGGCTCTTGAATGGTGGGAGGGACCTCTTCAACGATGACAGTGGCCTCTTGAACGGTGGGAGGGGACTCTCGAGGAATGATAGGGGCCTCTTCAACGATAGGAGTGGACTCTTGAGGGATGATAGGCGAGTCGGGCTTCTTCTTGCGGTGTTTTCGCACTATTGGGGTATACGGAGACTTAATAGCACGTGCACGCCGTCTGATGCGTGAACTCTGTCGTGCAAGAAAAACCCGACGTAAAGCATCCACCTTATCGGTCCGCTAAATAAAAATACAAATATCAGTAAATAAAAAAACATGATATTTAAATAGTGAAAACAAAGATAAATATATTTCAAACTTTCAACCAAAAGACAAAACAAAGACAAATACTAACTTCACAGTGTTAAAGTAAAAAGTTTAGCAGTTTTGGCAGTAACCGAATAAATTTACTAAGCAATCTAAGTGAAATGGTTAATTTAAGTGAAATTACGAGTAAATTTATCATCAAGTTAAATATGGAAATCTTAAACTTACCTCGTTGCGTAGAGTATGAACCTCATTCTGCAACGATACTACCATCTCACGTAGAGCGGCAACCTCACCACGTAAAGTAGACACCTCCACACGCCATGCACCATCGTTATCGCGTAGAGTACCGATCTCCTCACGCAAGGCATTGACCTCATCACGTAACTCCCTTGACTCATCCGTGGAGGTGGAGAACAGGGAGATAGAAGTCGTGGCATCTTTGTCGGTCGCCTATCATGAGGTGATGGTGGAGAAGAGACTCGATGATGTGACGGGATATGTGATGGCTCTCGTTGTAGAGGTGTATAGTCGGGTCGATCAGGTGATGGCTCTGGGTGAGGTGATGGCTCTCGAAGTGGAGGAAGTGGAGGCTGCTCATCATTCGTGCCATCAAAAAAACGCTGACTAGCTTGCCACCAATCAGTGGCAAGCTCAGCCTCCGTGGGTGTCAGTCTCATTAATGGAGTGTTGGCCTCCTAAAAATATAAAAACTAAAACAAAGTTAAACGTCTACTATTAATAACTTGTTTATATATGATAGTATTTGTGTTAACTTACATTATTTATTGTCGCATATGGTATTAAGTCTTCCCAATCCAACATACGTTTCCTCTTCCAGGAAATAGCCCTAGGAATATCATCTGAGGATTTTAATGCATATGTCTGCATGCTGGGGAAAGCCTCGAATATCCAAATCTACAAACAATATAATAACAAACATTAGTAATTGTTAAATAATTAATTATAATTTTGAAAACATTATATAGAAATTATTACCTTAAAGGCCCAAACAAAGCCTGACAAAGTGTATTTCGACCCATCGCCCCGCAAACTTTTGCGGTCATCAAAGGCAGACGACAACTTAGTCCAGGTAGCTTTCCATATATACGAACCCCACGGAAACATATTCCATGCATTTAGGTCCTCTACCAATAATATTAGCTCCTGAGGAATAGGTTGTCTGGCCTCTCTGCATAAAAAGCCGGCATACAAAAGTAGTAGAAGGCATACTCGGACAACATCGACGTCATTCATCCGAGTAAAACCATCTTTCTTATTAAACAATTTCTTCATGTCGTCGACGTGTAAGTTCGGCTTCTCTATTGACTCATCAGGAAAAACCCTGGATAACCATGATGGGCGGGTGATATGACGAGTGTACCGGCCTACATCATCGTGTCCGAATCGTAGACCAGTGATTAAGCAGAACTCCTTCCGCCCAAAACAAGTATACGCGGTGGAAAATGAAACCATATCTCTTCTCACCACGTTGTATACTGTCGGGTAGATCGCTAGTCATGGTCTGAAGCCACAAATGGGTCAAACTAGCATCTCCACCCGGATGTTGTACTCTCAGCCATGGCCCGAAGCAGGTTTCTTCAAACAATTTTCTTTGTATAGGTGAAAGCTTCGAAGCAATTGTAGTGGCTAGGCTAACTTTATTCCTTAATGTCAATGAAGCCGAAAAAAATTTCTACAAAAAAACAATAAACATACCAAGTTAGATATACCAAAAATTACACTGTCAAGATATACCAAAAACAAAACAATAAACATAAATAGTAGTTTATTCTTGAAACTAAAATTTGCAACACTGTTTTTGTCTTTTGGTTGAAATGAAAATCGCAATGAGATAATGAGAATCGCAACGCGGAAATGACTATCGCAACGCGGAAATGACTATCGCAACGAGAGAATCGCAACGCGAAATGACTATCGTGACCAGACAATCGCAACGCGAAATGAAAATCGCAACCGCAAAATAAAAATCGCAACGCGAAATGAAAATCGCAACGCGAAATGAAAATCGCAATGCGATTTTGGTTTCGCGTTGCGATTTTTATTTCGCGTTGCGATTATCTCGTTGCGATAGTTATTTCCGCGTTGCGATTTTCATTCTCGAAACTATTATTCTTCTGCGTTACTTCAACCAAAAGACAAAGCAAAGACAAATACTAACTTCACAGGCTAAACAGTTTAGCAGTATTGGCAGCAATCGAATGAATTTAATAAGAAATCTAAGTGAAATTGTTAATCTATTATTGAAATTACCAGTAAACTTATCATCAATCTCAATATGAAAAACCTAAAATAATGCAAAAATTTCAAAATAAAATAAAAAAATTAACCCTCGGAGGTTGATTTTCCATTTCTGAATGATTGTGAGGGATTTTTGACTGTGAATGGTTGTGAGGGATTTCGCCGGCGATGGGGACGGAAATCTTCGGAGATGGGGACGGATTTCGCCGTAGAGAGTGAGAGATGGAGATGGGACTGAGTGTTGTGTTTTGTGTTTGAGGTTATGAGTTGCGATTACTGTGGACGGTTCAGTTTCGATTTATTAAGAAAAAATTCGTGTTTGGAATTTGAAAAAAAAAATACGCGTTAATACGAATGGCGCTATGTAAATCGCGTTGCGAAAGTCAGAATCGCGTTGCGAAAGTCAGTATCTCGTTACGATTTTGTATTATCGCATTGCGATAGTAAGTATCGCATTGCGATAGTCAGTATCGCATTGCGATTTTCCCAATTCGCGTTGCGATTTACTTATTCGCATTGCGAATTGGGAAAATCGCAACGACATTGTATACCATCGCAACGCGATTTCCAACTATCGCAACGCGAATTTGCGATAATGGAGATCGCGTTGCGAATTAGCGATCGCATTGCGATTTTGTTGGTCATTTTGGCAAATCCGGAAAAAGTTGATTAAAATCGTATATTATATGGGATTGTTGGTCACTGAGGTTATTTTCTCTTAACTTAATTATATTAGTAATTAAATTAAATTTTATTATAATTAAAACAAGTGTTATTTTTTAAGAGATAATGGGTTCGAGTAATTACTTTGTGGGTGTATATATATTGTTAATTATTAAAAAAAGATTATTAACATATACTTACTATATAATTTGGAGGTCGTGGGATCGAGTCCCACGGTGGACAATTCATAATTTGGAAGTCTCCCACGGAAGCTGCTCTCAACCTGGCGTTGGGGATAACCTACTATCTTACCTCTCCCTTACCCCATTACATATGGGAAAAAGGGTCAGCTAATAATTTTTACTATATAAAAAACATATATTATCTTATAATCATCGTAAACTATTTAATATATATATATATCTTAATTTTAATTTTTTTTATCAAGTCCATTCAAACTCAGGCTTACTATCTGGACAAATAAAAATGCTTAAGCAAGTCACTGAAGTCTTAAGCCCAAAGTATATAGTCAAAGGGGCCCCGCTTCAGTGAAGACGCCAACACTAGTACGGGTATATACCCAAATACAATGTATACAAAATTTTCAGTATTTTACCAAATATATTCTAAAAATATTTAAATAAACATTGAAAAATGTTTCTTTTTTTCAGTTCAATTGAATGGAACTTTGGAGACATATATTTGATTGCTAAAATAAATGCATGCAGTTCCAACTTAGTGAATTCTAAAAGACTTCACGCTAATCAATTGAATATTAATTAATATGTAATCAATCAAACACTGTTTGAAAATGACTTTTCTGCTTAATTCGTATATTATATTGTTTTTAAAATTTTAATTAGATACAAATCCAGTTAATATATATAATTTTTAATGATAATTAGTATTGTAATAATAATATTATTTTTATATATATTTGTAAATAAAGTGATTAAAATTATTGATTTTTTATAATTATATGTTTTTCGTAAAAATATATTATTTAATTTACTTCACTTTTAATAATTCTTTATATTTTAAAAAATAGGATAAATTATATGTTTGATATCTAAACAACCAGTTTTATTTTGTTTTAATACTTAAACTTTTATTTGTTTCAAAAGCGTACCTAACGTTATTTTTTATTTCGTTTTAGTATCTTAAAAACTTAAGGAAACTGTTACAACATGGCACTTTTTAATGGATAAAGTATATCACACATCACTCAATTATATTCTCATTTCTATTTTGATCTCTAAAGTTTATTTTTATTTTTAAATTTAATTATTTAACTTTCAAATTATTCCCAATTTAATCACTCATTTAAGGAGTACTAAAATAAAACAAAATTGATAATTTAGGTATTAAATATTTAGTTTACCCAAAAATTATAGGAAATTCTTGTCGAGTTGGTGCAGAAAAGGAAAATTGTAGCAGATTCCTATTTTCATTCTCACAGAAACTAAAAAACCGTAAAAATCCCAGAAATTTGGTTAAATCGGAATGCGTGTCTTGAGGAGCTCCTCAGGCGCCTCATTGAGTTCCTAAATTTTATGTGTTTTTATTTTCATAAATTTTTTTCCGTCGTCTCCAACGGCAAAACCCTAACTTGCTTATTTATTCTCTCTCTCTCTCTCTCTTTCCTGAAAGCTTTTCTCTCCGTGATTTTTGTTTTCAATAACATTCTTCAAATTATTTCCATTTCCATTTTCTTTTTTTCCCCTCCTGGTTTGTGGTGGGGGGTTCGAATTTTTAAGATGGATATCGAGCAAAAGCAAGCCGAGTTCATCGATCACTTTGTTAAGCAAGCGTCGGCTCAGAAGGGGACGGCCCTTGGTTCCGTTATCGTCGAAGCGACGTCGCATCCTTCCCTCTTCGCCTTCTCCGAGATTCTTGCCGTGCCCACCGTCGCTGAGGTCAAAACCTATTCCATTATCAATTTCTTTTCTTTTCTTTTCTCTAATTCCCTCAATCTAAGAAATCAAAGCCGTCACCAATTATTTTCATTGTTGCACATAGCTTAATAACATTTTTCCTGTTTCTTTTTCTGTCAATAGTCTGGTGTTTTAGTTTTCTTCATTGCTTCACTTTTGTTTTGATGCTTTAGTTTACTTTTTAATTTATAAGAAACCTATATACCTTTGCAGCTAGACGGAACTGAAAACTCCGTGTACCTCGAGGTGCTTCGGCTGTTTGCCCATGGCACATGGAGCGATTACAAAAGTAAGCTGGAAAACCTGTGTTTTATTGTTTGTGACAAGTTTGTAATGTTGATGATACGCTTGTTTCTTTGTATCATATTTTTTCTATTCGAGATAATTTGAATATTATTAGTAGTAAACATTTGTCACTACCGCGTAAAGTATCTGAACCTGAAAACTGGTCTTCAAGATTATCGGTTTTACTCTTCTAAATTTTAGTATTTTTAATTTTTGTTGTTGCTCATGGTTAAAGTGATAACTTTAGTTTAGATTGTTTGAGAATTGAGAGCATAGGGCTACTTAAAATTATCTAATTATGTAAATTCTTATTTACTAATCTTGTGAAAGACTGAAAGTATTACATTTGTTCATCTAAAAGGAAGTTTACCAGACGTGATTGAAAAGACATTTTATTTGAATACCAGCTTAAGACTTGGCCTTTTTTCATATTCTTTCTCTTTTAATCTCTTCCTAACTTCTATTATCTTTCTTCTGACATTGTTCGTAAGTGACGTTTATCTATACAGGCATTTTCGGTACCAAAATGCCCTTCACTTAACTATTCTACTTGATGTATTTCTCTGTTTTGATTGTTCGTATATTTATTCTTCACATCATAATGTAATAAACAGTGGCTGCTTAAACTATGTGATCAGGCAATACTGGCAGCCTTCCTCAATTGGTCCCTGATCAAGTTCTCAAGTTAAAGCAACTCACTGTCCTTACACTTGCTGAGACAAACAAGGTATTTTAGTTGAATTATGAGACATTTGCTCTTATAAATATGCTATAATTGTCAGCCTCGTTCCATTGTAGTGGTTATAGTCATTTTGATATTCATCGGACATGCCACTTTGAGGCTACCGACTTTGTAATATGATGGAACCAAGTCTTTAGAATCTCATGAAAATTTTAATGCCTTTCTGAATTGTTTTATTCCACTTTCTAACTGAAATGGATATGCCCTTTGTCTGATAATGGCACTATAGGTTTTAAATGTTGGTTGCATCAAGTTCATTTACCATTTACATATCTTCACCAGGTATTACCATATGATCAACTAATGCTGGAGTTAGATGTCACCAATGTTCGGGAACTTGAAGATTTTCTTATCAATGAGTGCATGTATGTGGTGGGTAGACTCCGGCCTAATTCTCTATTATTTTTCATCCTAGGATTTACTCCATTATGACATGCTTTAGCTACCGGAACAGCCTTGAAAGGCCCTGGGAACGTGATATTTTGGTTGCTAATGGATGATTTTTATGCAACGTGTTGCATGTGAAATAATTTTGCAGTTATTTCTGCATTCATGTTTGTTTTTTGGGGATGGTTAACTTCTAGAGTAGCCCTGCATTGTTTGCAGTTATTTCTACTACTATTTGAACTTTCCTTTGGTGGTCAAACCCAATACCTTAGATCAAACTATGCTTTCACAAAGGTTTGAGAAAGAAGGGGAAGGTGGGGCACTTGCCTTCGCATTGGGTGTTTTGTTGAATTTTAAGGGAAATGAGTTCTACCAGAGGTGCAAATATACTGAAAGTGTGCTGATTTTTGTTCACTTTTCACAAACTTTTTGTTAGGGTATAGTCAGAGGAAAACTGGATCAGCTGCGAAGATGTTTTGAGGTCTGTCCTTACCTCTCAAGAATTTTCCTTTACATTATTTTTCTTCGTGTATTAAAATCTTTAATATTTGTTCTGGAAGATCCAATTTGCTGCTGGGAGGGATATGAGGTCAGGACAACTTGGGAGTATGATAGAAACACTAGCGAACTGGTAACATCTCTGGTTCAAATAGAGCATTTCATTAAGTCTTCTGTCCATGCTGCAGTTATAGTTGCTACCGTGTGATTTTCTGTTACATTTTCGATTTGTTCATTAGAGCTATTTAGTCCAAGTAGACCTGACAGAATACAAAGTTAAATTTGATAAATCAGCATATATATAATATTAATAAATCTGTCTATGTTTGAATTTTAAACCTAGGTTGTTAACATCAGACAACTTACTAATCTCAATTCAAGAGAAGATAAAATGGGCGGATAATATGAGTGAGTTTGACAAAAAACATCTAAAGGAGGTTGAAGATAGGGTGGAAGAAGTAAAGAAGTCCATCTCTGCCAAGGTCAGTTGTATCCAGTTTGCCTTTTATATCGATTTCCCTTTTCCTATAATTCAGAATTGAACCATTAAAAAAACATGAGAACGTAAATGTGGGCTGAAAGTGTTCTCATTACTTTCTTTGTCTTTTAGTTTTTAAACTAATTTTATATAAGCATTGAAGAACGCAAAACTAATCGCATCTAGATAGTTGTTGATGTAAATTCACACTTTTAAGATATAGGAAAAAAATTTGGTGTATGGGGGTGGGGTGATGGTCGGAATGAGTCCTTTAATTCTTGCAAAAATGCTGAAACAAAGAACATTGGAGCTTAAAGCTGCAACTTCCTAGTTAAGATTCAAAGGAGGTTAACAGAATCTATATTTAGCATGCCACGACTTCACTCAATCAATATCAAGATACGTTGGTCGATGTGGCTTACTTACATTGTGGCAGAAGTTACCAATTGTAAGCAGGCTGAAGTTGACTTCCGAGGGATCGAAGAGATCTACTTTGAACCTGGTGGAGTGATGGACTATGAAGAAGACCGAAGTCGACCAAAGAGGTATTTTCTTTCCCTAGTTTTTTTAACTTCCATTATATGTCCTTAAACATGTTATCCTCTTTCTCTCTCTCTCTCTCTCTTACTGAAGAGTCAGTATGGTTTTCATGGCGTCCAGTGGTTTTCTGTTCTTAAAAATACGCTGCCTGGTATTGATATATATATTTCTATACCATCTTAAATTCACTAGATATAATAGGTTATTGTGACTTCTAAAAATTATGCTTCTTAATTGGATTGAAGAAACTTTGGATTAAAGTCTACTCTTTGAACCAACTGCATTTCACTGATGTCTAATGGTGTGGGTAATACAGGAGACGGCATCCAAGATCATGAAGATAAAGAAAAGCACCCGATTGGACCAATGTTTAGTTGAATAGCCAGATTTTTGTTCACAACATCTCAGCAACAGATGAATCTACTTTCGGGACAGGGATACTGCTGCCTCCCTGCCTTTGTGATTGTTGCTTTAAAATTCGAGAATTACACCAACTTGTTTTGAACCCTTTGTCTATTCCTTTCTGAGTTGGGAAGAACAGCAGTTGGTCTGGAGGTATGGCCGAAAACATTTTAAGTAGTTAGATACACCATAAAGAATCCTTTTATAAATACAGAACTTAAGGGAGCTAAAATGTTTACCAAAATTGAATAAAATTTTGCATTCAAATGATGTTTCCATTAACGGATAATCATCGGTCTAAGTTCAGTTGACATTGATTGAGATAAGTTTAGTTCTATCTCACTTCCTAACTCGGGTTCAAATGTCAAATTAATCTTTAGCTTATCCTCCGTTTCTACTTGGGAGTTCTATAGGATTCTGACTGAGACGATGACCAAGACGAGCCTGGAGACCTTCGTTTGTTATTGCCCAACTTCACAGGCTCCACCTGAACTGAGCCGATAAGGTGTGGAAAATTTAGCTTGGCTTTTGCGCCATACATTTGGAAAGCTGCTTTGTCATAAGTCACTGCAGCATCTTCCGGCGTCTCGTAAGTACCGAGCCAGATTAAGCACCATTTCTCTTAGGATCCCTTATCTCTGCTGCGTACGTCCCCCATGGCCTTCTCCTTACTCCCTTATAACGCAGCCCCTTAGGCTGTCTGTGAATCTCAGTCTTCACCTTAGAAGTCACCTTGCAGTTGGGAACTCGAACGTCAACAGCACCGGACTCCGGTGCATCGAATAACTGATCAGAAGTTATCCACTGATCAGCATTAATAGCAACGGCATCAGTATTGGGACAATCCATCTGATCCGATGGAACTGGAACTTGAATATTTGCAACGTTTTCGGGAAACTTGGCTGGAAGTTGAGTCCCAGAATCATCATCTTCCAAAAGATACCGACGAACCGAGTCCAAGAAGCCGAGATTAAATTCTGAACTTGTTTCACAGTACATATTTGCTTAATTTGTTGCTAATGTGGAAGATAAAGCTGAGACCACGATTGCGAGGTGTGGATTTAAACTGAAACTGGATGAGTACCTTGAGGTGTTGTTTGATTATAAATACTTTGGGACTTGGTATTAAACTACTACTGTTGTTCCTGGTTTTCTTTGCGGGAAGTTTTAATTGTTACGTCATTAATTATTATTATCAGTAATATTATTTTCGTGTTTCATTCATTTTTTATAATATACATCAATTAAGACGATGTTGTAACCCTAACTCATTAGGTATTATCCCGTTAATTGTTTGTGACAAAGACATTTCAAAAAATTTCTTATCATCATTTTTTTAAATTTAAGATAATGCTGTTTTATTAAGATAGTTGATAAAACGATCTCCCAACTCACCTGATGCTATCTCATTAATTTTTAATAATAAGATGAGATCTTTCACAAAATTAACAGTTATTCAAATGATTATAAATTAAATTTAAATCTATATTAATAATTTTTCAAAAATACATTTAATTCCTTCATTTAAAAATCACATGACTATTGAAAGTTATAAAATAGTTCCTCAATCATAAGGTATTGCTTTGTTGAGTCTCTCGACTATTAAAAATTATAAAATAGTTACATGACTATTCATATATTCCAATATCTTTTTTCGTTAAAAAATTGACGGTCGTCTAAGTTGGAAGTTAGCTTGGTCACTAGGATATGACAAAATATGATCTCATAATCGTTTGAGTTGTATTTTATAGATCGAGTCTTTATTTACATTATGTTGTCGAGCCAGTGCTTGAAACATTATGCTGTCGAGCCAGTGCTTGAAAGCAACGACAATGTTAGTAGATATCACTGAAATATGATTTTAGTAGATATCACTGAAATATGATTTTATCACTGAAATATGATTTTATCATATCATAGTCAACATGTTAAAGTCCAACCCAAACCGTCGTTAATTTTTTAACGAAAAAGTACAAGTTTTGAATATATGAACAGTCAAGTGACTGTTTTGTAACTTTCAATAGCTAGGGACTCAACAATGTTAGTAGATATCACTGAAATATGATTTTATCATATCATAGTCAACATGTTAAAGTCCAACCCAAACCGTCGTTAATTTTTTAACGAAAAAGTACAAGTTTTGAATATATGAACAGTCAAGTGACTGTTTTGTAACTTTCAATAGCTAGGGACTCAACAAAGCAACGTCCTATAATCAGATGACTATTTCATAACTTTTAATAGTCAGGGACTCAACAAAACAACACCCTATAATAAGGGATCATTTGCATACTTTACCCTCATAAATATTATAGATTCCGAATGTGTTAGATGTGTATTAATATTTTTGGCAAATTATAGGATTGATCACTTTCGTTTAAGTTTTGCATACTTTTCCTCACTGAATTCAAAAAACATAATATTTGGCCACTTTCGTTTTTATTTAATTATGATTCGGTCATTGAGGGTTAACTGTCGTTAGACCTTTAACAGATTGTTAATGTATCACACTGAATATATAAAATTAAAAGGGATAAACTATACAAATAGACACTAATGTTTAAATAAATTTTTGTTTCCCCACTATATTTACTCTGAGCAGTCTTACCGATATTATTCCTTTAGATTGTGAGCACTCAACCTCTCAGCTCAACCACTGTCACCATTTTCCCTCAAATAGTGTCATAATCAGACCCCAAATCCAAACATCATCGAAACTGCAATTATAATGACTAAATTTCTCCTATTCAAACCCCCACAACTTTCAAGAGGACCTCACACAACTAGAAAACCTTCAGTGATCAATGCTGTAATTTACCCTAATATTTTATGTATAATTGCTAATCAAAATTCTGTTCCTCGCCAGTTTCTTGATTAAACAAATATATTAAGCGACTTATTAAACTAATAAACCTTAGCTTATTAAGTAATTCAACAGAAGGCGGAAACGTGGAGGAGCCTCCACAGTAGGCGAGGCAAACTGGAGGATGAAGTGGTGGCGGAGGCCATGGGGAAGTATAGGGAAGAGATAAAGGACCCTGACAACAATGGCGTAAGAGTTTGGGTAGACACCTAAGAAACGTCCGAGGCCGCAGCTTTGGTTTTATGATAAAGCAAATTATCAAGAAACGTGATTCCAAAGACCAAAACTTTCTTCTTCTCCATTGTTGTCTACATTAGATAGCTGTTGGTCTGCATCAATGTCGAAAATTATTAGGTCTAACGATAAGAGGAGGGGTATAAATCAATGTGGTTTCAATGAACAAGGTTATATTCACGTTCATTTGTTTATATTTTAAGGTGTTTAAGTTTGGTTCGTATTCATTTAAAAATTTAACCGTTCATTTAGTTTTCGCAAACATGTTCGTTTAACGTTCGTTGAAATGCTCATTTATATGGTTCTAGTTCTCTTGACGATAAGCACTCTCTTTTTATCCTTTATTTGTGATAAATGGATTGTTGTTATTCATTAAGGTCTCGAATTTGAACATCATGAATATCAGACGTATGAGCATTCAATGTCGAATGGTTGAAAGTGTTCTTTAAATATATATTAATTTGTACTTACTCAAGATTAATAAAAATATGTAAGAAATTAAGAAAAATGATAATTCAGTAAACGAGCTTATAAATGAGTCTATAAAAAATTTATAAACGAACCGAACACCTATCTTTTCGTATTTGTTCATTTATTAAATGAACATAAATTTTTTGTTCGAACTCATTTATTTAACTTAATAAATAAACGTTATATGAATGATTCACGAATAGTTCATCAAACACGCTATTCATTAATACTCTTAGATAAGATGCATTATATTTCAATAAAAAAAATATATTTTAACTTTGAAAACAAATATTATTAGAAGATAATCATTAACCTAAATATGAATCTTGAGACGAGCATAAAAGATTAAAAAACGATATATATATATATGCACGAATCAAACAATTTTAGTAGTAAAATAATTGTTGTTATTTATTGAGGTTCTAGATTTGATCACTATGAATGTTATGAACGTTCAATAGTAAATAATTGTGACTTGAGAGATATGTTTGAACATATATTATCCTGTTTAAAAAAAAACTGTACTCTGGGTGAGCAAGAAAACGAGATATGCATGCATGATTGCGAGAGAGAGGCCGAAGGCACAACTGAAACAGCAGAGATGATGCGAAAAAGCAAAAACTCTTTACTTTTCTCAAGATAGGTAGATGACGTTTAAATGCAACCGCTTTGCTATATATACCCCAGGCTTACTGTTCACCATCATCACTACAGGGAGATATCAAGCTCACTTAGAAATTTACACAAACATCAAGTCTTCTTAATACCACCCCCCAAAAAAAATGAAGGGTGGTATTATCTTAGTTTTTGTGATGCTAGCCATGTTTCAGTTCATGGTGATGCAAGGAGACGCCACCGTGAGTTGTGGCCAAGTTAGAAGTTCATTGGCGAAGTGCGTTCCTTTCCTTACCGGTGCTCAAGCGGTTCCTACGGCTGATTGTTGTAGTGGCGTGTCGAGACTCCAGACCATCGCCACTACAACCGCGGACAAGCAGGCGGCTTGCAACTGCGTTAAAGACACCGCCGCTAGTATGCCCTCCATCGCGGCATCTCTCCCAGCCGAGTGCAACGTTCAATTTAATTTCCCCATCTCCAAAAACACCGATTGCAAAAAGTGAGTTCATCATCTTCGCTTCTTTTAGATTTTTTTTATAAACCTTAACATTATAGGATGCTTAATGACTAATGTTTCCTTCGCTTTGTTTGTAAATTGAAAGTATTCAAGAGCAGGCCACCGTAAGTTGTGACCAAGTTAGAGGTACATTGGTGCACTGCGTTCTTTTCCTATCGGTACTCAAGCGGTTCCTACGGCTGACTGATGTAGCGGCGTGTCGAGACTCCAGACCATCGCCACTACAACCGCGGACAAACAGGCGGCTTGCAACTGCGTTAAAGACACCGCCGCTACTATGCCATCCATCAAGGATGATGCAGCCGCATCTCTCCCGGCCAAGTGCAATGTTCAAGTTAGTTTCCCCATCTCCAGAAACACCGATTGCAAAGAGTGAGTTCATCATCTTCGCTTCTTTAACAATTTTATAAAGCTCAACACTATAGATTGCTTAATATAATAACCAATCTTTCCTTCGCCTTGTTTGTAACTTGTTAGTATCCGAGAGCCGGCCACTGTGAGTTGTGACCGAGTTAGAGGTACATTGGTGCACTGCGTTCCTTTCCTTATCGGTACTCAAGAGGTTCCTACGGCTGACTGCTGTAGCGGCGTGTCGAGACTCCAGACCATGGCCACAACCACCACGGACAAGCAGGCGGCTTGCAACTGCGTTAAAGACACCGCGGCTAGTATGCCATCAATCAAAGAAGATGCCGCCGCATCTCTCCCGACCAAGTGCAACGTTCTATTTAATTTCCCCATCTCCAAGAACACGGACTGCAGGGCGTGAGTTCATCATCTTCGCTTCTTTTACATTTTCGTAAACCTCAAAACTGTATAATACTTGATAGATATTAACCTAAACTCAATAACTCATGATCTATTTTCCCTTCGTTTTTGTAATTTGTCAGCATCCACTAAGATGGAAGTCATGGAGACAAATAAATAAGGCCAACTAAGACAAGTAGGCGTTGTCGTCGCCTCTTCAAGTACCTATATATCCTACTTGTGTTCTAATGCATAAAAAACTGTACCATGCACGTTGCATAAATTTAGAGTTTATACAACGTGTATACAAGCCTGTGTATTCGTAATAAAATGGAAGTTGAACAATGTTCGGAGCATATTATAAAATATAAGTCATAATCAGTATTCGATCTATTAACCCATTATAACGTGTAATCTTCCAATTCAGTTTACTTTATTCATGAACGCTAAATTTTAAACTCTTAATAATTGCATAATTACATTAATGGAGTCATCCCTTCTAAGCAACCTGGAGAAAAATGGTTGTCCCTTGTTCCCATATAAATGGGGTAAGAGAGAGGTAAGATAGTAGATTGCCCCCAACACTAGGTTGAAAATAGTTTTCGTAGGAGACCTCCAAATTATAAAATACCCTCGATGGAACTCGATCCCACGACCTCAAGGTTAAGAACCTTGTGCTCTACCAACTGAGCTGGATGGAATATGCATCTATAAAAATATTTATATTTAAATTACTAATGATACATATACTAACCATACATCAAATATTATTTCTTATGAAAAAAAAACAATGCAAATATACGTTAAATTATTGAACCGTATTATGTTTTACCGTTTTTCATTGGGCTCATGTTTTCAACGTCTGGATTGAACCGTAATTGAAATATTTTATGTTTAATCGAAATACAGTCTACGCAGAAATAGTTTCAACTAAAATTATTGGTTCAAATTATCCCTCTGACCCAATAGATTAGACTTAAAATAATCTATTCAAATCCAAGTTGGTTCGGCTTAGCTTGACATGCGACGGATTAAATATATTTATAGTTATATAATTTTAAAAATATTAATGACAAATCACAAACATGACTTTTAGTCAAACATATTTTATTGACCAGGTTTTATCCAAAACACAGGGTGTAGTCCGATAGAAATTTCTTTTAAATATTAAAGCATATTTTCAGAAGAAAAAAACAATTACAGATGGAACAATTTTTTGAATCTTACACAGCTAAACTTTTGCAGTAAAATTGAAGCATTTTCATGGAACACACTGCCAACCAATGTCACCAAGCATGCTTCCACAATCTCTACGCCTCGTATATATACTCCACTCTCCGTATAACCAAACCAAAAATGAAAATAACACAAAAACAAACACAATCCACTTCGTAAAAAAAAAAACTCGAAAAGTTTACACAAAAAAGACTCGAATTAACATCTTGAGCTGATACCGACAAATCAATAAACCCGAATGTCGTTACCAAGACTGCTCAACAGCTTCCTAGAAGACTTCTCATCCGCACGGCACCGTAGCCATAGGCAAGAAAGTTTGCTCATGGCAGCTTGACTAGCAAACTGCAACCTGCCAGCAATGCTTCCCTCGGCAGACATCTCTTCATCGAACACATCTGTGTCAAAGCTAGAGTCATATCCATCAAGGTCCGACTCTGTTACCACAACTACAGAGTTATCATCAAAGGCTTCCGTATCCTGTTGTTCTGGTACAATTAGGGTTTTCTTTACGACCACACAGCAAGAGTTTACGGGCATTCCATTATTTTTCACCTTGTGAAGATAATAATCTTGAACAGCCTACATTTACCAGAGATAGATAATATGAACAACACAAGTTCCAGAAGTTATAGGCCACTTCAATAAGTGCGAAACAAAATTGATAAACCCAATAGGCAATACCTGCTGCTGCGCAGGAGCCAGAAGTACCCTAGGTCTGATAGATCTAACATATTCATAAGCTGCATCAGGTGTCATATGCCTATGTTGCACCTGTGTTATATATATACAATTGTTTTAATGATAGATCGATTCATAAAGTAACTTGGAAAATTTTAAATTTAGCTTTTTACTTGGTGCATACCAGGTAGCAAAGGACAATGGTTGTGCTGCGCCCTCGACCAGCCTTGCAGTGAACATAAGTGGTCTTTCCAACAGATGCATTCTCTTCATAGAACCAAAAAGAAGTAGATATGCTACCGGTTAACAGGAAAAGCTCACAACCCACAAAAAATTTAAGGCCAGAAGCAGCATACCATGTATGAAACCTACAGCTTGGCAAATATCAGCAAACGATGGAGCAAAAAGATAGTCTCTTGTAGGAATCACCAAATGGTTGATGTTGTGAGCCTACCAAACAAAAATAATGAGTATTTGAGATATGAAGCATAATTATGACTGAATAACAAAAAGGTTTCAGATAGAAAATTAGAAAGTAACATCAGCATTTCTAAAATGCTTCTTCGTCAAAAGAAACACTGGCCTCCTTAACCTGCGCATTGGAGATAAAATAAAATCTCATTGACTCCGCTGTTCTTATCGTACCAAATATACACACTAATAGCTTGAAAGTAAAGTCAAAACTGTCTTCAACTTAAAGTGCTCTTGGTTTGACATCTGAACTTCCCACTCACTAAAAGATAGCCCAGCTTAATTAACTTTTCAAGGCCGAGTAGGTATATATAAAATGAAACCACTATTATCTGTGTATTTTTTATTATTCGTTTAAACATGTATCGCATTTCAAATCTTCCTCTACAGAATCGGAATAGGTGCTGACAACATAAGAGAACTCACATGATATAACGATGTCGGAACCAAAGTCTCATATGGTTCGTTTAAGGTCACAACTCCGGAGACACCAAGATCCTTCAACTGGGGAACATCGGCAGGGAAAGGCACGGCACCTAACAAAATAAACTGAATTCAAAGCAACAGCAACCATCATCAGCATAATTAAACAGTCAAGTGAAATTTCAGCCTATCTATGTGCGTTGGCAAACCATACAACTAGGATTCCGGGAAAACTAAGCTACAATAAACAAATAATAATAATAATAATAATCCCTACTCCTCCTTTCCCTTGCCCAATAACTACATAAATTGCAACAAAAATACTTCAATAATTCATGGTGTTGAGGCATAATCAGCAAAGAAATTTCATAAAAATGGTTAAATTATACCTCATCAACTCGATCCCACCACCTAAATTCAGACTGGATCTTGTTCCTGAGAACATTATATAACAAGGTTGGATAAAAAAGAGCACGTGCTCCAGCTCCCACCAAAACCCTCTTTGCATCCCAAACAACCAAGCTATCTCCGCAAAATTGACTCTGATCTTGATCCTGTTGCTCTCCTTCTTTCAATTCTTCAATATGCATCTCTTTTTCTTTTCTTTTCTTTTCTTTTTCTTTTTCGTCTCGATTAATTCATAAACATACATACATTTAAAAGAGAGAGAGAGAGAGAATAACCCTACCCTTAAATTACACACAGAACACTCAAATTAACAAGGAAAAAAAAAGTACCCTTCAATCTTAATAGCCATAATCGGAATCTACAAAGAGGATAACATGAACATCAACTCAAACAAATGAAAATTTTAATCAGACAACAGAAATTAAGATCTTTCAGCAAAAGCAAACTTTGAAAAGATGAAAACACGTTTGACCTAGAATTGTACATGATATTGCAAATTAAGAGAAAAGAGAGGAATTTTCTGAAGGCGGGGGGGGGGGGGGAAAGAAAATAAAGAAGAGATCCCAAGGAAAACGAATTCGAAATTAAAGGATTTAAAAGACAAAGCATTAATTGTTGCCCTTTTCTTGCTGAGTCAGTTACTCTCTTTTCCCCCCTTTCCTTTTCTCCAACAAACTCCAGTAATTTCGATTTGTATTAAAGTGTAATTAATTTATAATCTCCTTCATTAAGGAAACTAACAAACCTAACGCCACATAAGGGATCTTCTTGAAACGACGACGTTTTCAGGACAATTTAATGACGCATGAAGCTCGTATGTTATTTTTCTTTAAAATATGTAATCTTAAATTTGGAAATAATTGGATTGCTGACAACATGACTGACGTGTGTATTAAAAGTATAATTCAGTCCACGAAAATAAAATATGATTAATGGTAGGTCATTTTAACAAAATTGTTCAGATGTTATGATGAAAAAATAATAATTTTTATTTAGGGTGCGGATAAAATTATTTTCTTAACTAGAACGAGTATTACAGTATCCTTTATAGGCCGTTCAAATGATATTACTTTTTTGGAAAGATGTTCGATACACGACGTCTCCCTCTCTGTTACGTATATGTCTAAAAATTTGTAACACTACAACCTTGTTTAAAATGTTCTATCATTTAGACATCTTCTTGAAGATGTTATATCGGTTGAACGACTTATAATGTGCATTATGACAATCATCTATACAAAAACATAATCTCTCTCGAACTCTAAATAAAAAATTCTATCACATTATTCATAAAAATATATTATTTTGTTAGACTTTTCATGAATATTTGATTTCTTAGTTTGTTTATAAAACTCAATCCCTTACTGACTACATAAGACAACATTTGTTTACATTAATTAATTAATATATTCTATTATAAAATATTACGTAAATATTAAATACATCGGACTGTAGGTGGAGTCAAAATAATAATAAGTGGAATATGGTTTTGGTAGCCGCTGTTTTTTTCTTCAATTGTTTATTTAGAGTCAATGAAAAAACTATTTTATAATTTTATTCAAATAATATTGTTTTTTTACAATTCTCTGCTAATAAACTATTTGTAGTTGGTTTGAATTTACCTATTTATTTATATTTTATATTTTGGAGATGGTAGGGAATTCTTTTGCTTTATATGGCGTGTGATTTTAGAATATATAAAAAAATTATTTAATGTTAAGACATGATAGAATAACAAATAATAATGTCACTATACTAGGACTACGAGGACGAAGAATCCTCGATTTAAAGCAAACTATTTTCATCTGAAAAAATTACCAGATGTGTTGAGCCCATTCAGTGAATCTATTGATGCTGTTCTTTGAAGCCTAATATGCTCTCTGAACTTGGCTATGAACTCACCGGCCCAACCTCATAACTATCACTCCCTGCTACACTCAAAGTCCCGGATATGGTTTCTTCATCCGAGCTGACTTGAAAATCTTCATCCTCTGTCTCCGACTCAGAATTCTCCAACCACTCTCGTCGTCCTCGGTTCTGGATTTTAGAGAATGTTGGGTTTTGTATGTCAGGGTTACCTCCAATATTCTGCCTTTTGAACACAACTGAGAGATTATAATGTCCCAATTTTGGTTCACTTTCACCTCTAGAGGAAAGTTTGTTCGGATGATTTTCCCTGGACCCTCTGGCACTACCACTACCTCTAAAGGTCCGAAACATCCTAACAGACTTTCCTGTCGAGGAAACTTTAGAGGGAGCTACAGGCTTTGCATCAAATTTTAAAGGATAACTTGAAATCCAGTTCACACTCGAAGCATTTCCTCGAGCGAGTCCCCAACAAGGAGCCATCACTATACTGCCGAGAATGCGATGCATTCGCGGACGTATGAGGACACGACTGGCGGGAACTACTTTCATTGGGGGATTCTGTCGTTTTGGAATTCGGAGATTCCGATGAACTCGAATGTGAGGGGAACAAGCTACTCGGTGAGTGTGAACTAAGCTGGGAATGTAAAGACTAAAGACCGTGATTTGAGTGATCGAAATTGAGTTTCATCAACTGAGAGTGGCCTGAAATGAGAAGGCCGGATGGCACCACCACCATCAACTCTCTGTTTCGTCCTTACAGACCCTATATCACTCTCCTTATACTTCCCCTCGAAAATTTCAGACCCTAAAACACTAAACCCTCCACTTTCACTCTGATCTGAACTATCCGACGAATCCGTCACACTTGTACCAGAAGACTCACTTGATCCATTGCCAAATTCAGGACTAACCCCAGTTTCAACCCAGGATTTTAAGCTACTAAAAGGCAACTTCAAAGATTTATGATCCGTAAACGAACCTAATTCACAATGTGGTTCAGCCAACACAACCATGGGTTGCCCTTGAACATTCTTTGAACTCCAGGCTTTAACAACGTTTTCCTCGTAAGGATTCTCAAAGCTATCATTTTTAACATTAAAAGGCCCGGCATTACCCTGTCCACTATAGTACTTCGAATGATCATCAAAACCATCTTCAAAAACAGACGAAAAATTGGAAATTGCAGAAGCATTCGAGTGAGAATCATCATGATTAACAATATAACATTTATACGACCAAACAAGTCATAAGAAACAGCAATGCCAATGAACGAAAGATGGAGGAGTTCCCAAAACTTGTTGAGCACCGTTTGGTTTATGAACTCTGGGGCTTGGAAGGGAACAATGGGATTGCAATGAGAAAGACAGTGAAAAGCAGCCACTTACCGGGAATGCGGCGCGTGTAGTTATTAGTATTATCGTTTCTGTTTATGGTGTTAGCCTTTGTGGAGGGTCTGGTCGAGGAGTGAGGGTATGAATCCGCCATATTGAAGGGGTAAAAGAGAATATTAAAGGATACTTTAATTGATCGAAGAAAGGAAGACTTTGAAACAAAGGAAATAACAGTACGGTAGCGAAAAGAATAAAGTTCATTAAAACAAAGGCTTATTTAATTATATTTACTTTAAACTATACTTATTTTATCTAATTACCTATAAAAATTTAAATCTTTTATCTTTAAAATCTAATTATGTTACCATTTTATCCCATATTATTAACCTTTATTGAAAAATGTTAATCAATTATAACGCACCAAGTGATGTTTCTAACTAAAAATCATTTTGATTATAATAAAAAATAATATTTCAAGTAATTCAATTTTTTCATTTTAATCTCTAAATTTATTTTAAAATGACCCCTGTTTATTTTAAAGCCTTATAATTATCTAATACTTGTTTTTGAATACATTTATGAACGCCAAAAATAAATATTCACTAATATTGAACAACCCAACTTAAACAATCATAATTAAAAAAATATAAATATAATTTTAAAATTCGTAACAGACATAAATCATACGTATATGTATAAAAAGATTTATGGGTAAAGTACACAAATGGTCCCTATACTATAATACATTACTTTATTGAGTCTCTTGATTATTAAAATTTATAAAATAATCTCAATTATAGGACTCTGCTTTGTTGAGTTTATAACTATTAAAAGTTACAAAATGATTATTTATATGTTCTAAAATAATAATTTTTCATTAACTAATTAGCAGGTGTCTGAACTAGACGTTAAAATATTAATTAGAATATAATAAAATATAATCTCAAAATCGTTTGAATTATATTTTTTAAATCGAATCTCCATTTACATTATGTTGTCAAGTCGATACTTAAAAACAATGACTATGTCGATATGCATCACTAAAACATAATTTAATCATATCTCAACTAGCAGGTTAACATCCAACTTAAACGACCGTCAATTTTTTTAACGAAAAATGATGAGTTTGAAATATATAAATAGTTAGGTGACAATTTTATAACTTTTAATTGTCAAAAGACTTAACAAAACAATATCTTATAATTGAAAGATCATTTTATAATTTTTAATAGTAAAATGACTCAACAAAATAAAATCCTAAAATAGGATGACCATTTGCATACTTTACCAAAATTTATTCAAACACGTCTATTTTCAACATTAGGGTATGCTGCATCTTTCTTCTAGGCGTTGTTTTTATATCGGTGGAATATATATGTTTCATTTTTCTCTGGAAACAATTCAAGAGATTGAATAACAGGAACAAATCATTATAGGGATTCAGTTTGAAGTTTAGAAAATTTGAATGGAAAACTTTGCTTTCTTTTTCTTTTCAAAAAACCAAAATCGTATCCTAACCACAATCGTTAAATCTTTTTGATTATTTATAAATCCTCCTAAAATTATTCAAACTATGATCTAGAGGGAGAGGCATTGAAGAGCCGATGAGTAATGGGCAATGGCAATGCAGCCCAAGGACTAATCGGCACTGGTAGCTGATGGCAAGGACTAGAGTGGCCGTGCTTCGTGGTGGATGCGGCGGCAGCCGAGGATGAAGCGACCGCCACACGTTCACAAGAAGGGCACATGGCGAGAGTTGTGGGAGGGTTGATGTGCATGTTGATTTGAGGGGAGAGTTTCAATGCCCTAAGCTCTTGCACTTCCTTCAGCAGCCTTGTGTTTTCCTCTGTCAGATTGTCGCAACATCGTTTTAGATACTCACAGTCGACTTCCGTCTGCTTCAACTTCGTCCTGTGCGGCCATCCATCGATAAAATGCTTAATTGTAATATCCTTGACAATAAAAAAACAGACAGTAAATTACCTTGCTCTTCTGTTCTGGAACCAAACCTCCACTTGCCTAGGCCTCAGATTTAATTGCATTGCCAGTGCCGACTTTTGCTTCTGTATTATATAAAACACACCACTATTTCATTTCAGATATCAACTTCTTAAACTGCCTGCATTTGACAAATCACAGTAACTAACCGGATTAAGGGAGTTATGTTCCTTGAAGGTTTCTTCAAGCACCACCGACTGTTCCTTTGAAAGCCTAAGCTTTTTCCTCGAGGCTTCGTCACCGCCGCCGCCACCTCCGTCTTCATCGTCACTGGAAGGAGAGCTCGACGGTCGCTCAGTCTCGGTTTCACCACCCACAGCATCTCTCTCATTTCTCTTCCCACTTATGCTAGAAACGATGCTGTTGGGCGAGGACACCCCACCTTCTACTTCGGATCCAGCCGTTGCCGGTGCTCCGTTCACATCAATTCCACCATGTACTGATTTTGTATCCGACTGTCGATCTGCACGCATATGGTAAACCACAAATGTCTAAAAAAGTGGCATGACAGGGCAACATAACGTCTGAGCTTCTCTCTTACAGTTCAATAAAACATCAGATCTCAGCGTATTCAGATTTCATGTTACTGGAAAAAACAGAAAAAAAATATAAAAACACATACCGGAAGACTGAAACAGCTCATTCCAAATATTTCTCTGTTGAAGATTCTGCATCCAGGGTGAAGCTAAAGACATGCGATTTAACTTCAACGACGGCTGATTCTGAGCACATCCCAAGCTCAAACTTAACCCCAAACCATCATCTTTATCCCCCATCTGTTCCTCTTTGTGTCTTTTTTTCTTCTCTCCTCCTTTCTGGATTTCCTCCCTAATGTGTTTGGTTTCTGAGAAAATGGCTTGAGCTGTAATGGACAGAGTTGTGTAAACAGCCTTTTGGTTTTGAGCGGCACAACAGAAAAGGATGGGACTACATATATATAGATAAAACAGAGCGAGAGAAAAAATGAGAGACGGGTAGAGATTCAAATCATGACTTTTGTCAGTGACCATATTGGGTCAATCATGATTTTATGTAGCTTTTTCTTCCTGGACTCAACTTACAGTACTTACTTGCAATTGCATGGACTCAATGCTGGTCACACATTGAAGAAGGTGTAAATTGTAGTGTTAGGTCTGGTCTTGGGAGGTTTTGCTCATTGTTAATGAATTTGGGTTATAAAGCACTTTCTTGCTCGTTGACCGGCGAAAGATGGGACAGCAAAAGCTGGTGCAATTCCCTGCACGCTGGGACCACAATCTTTTGAAAATCCATGGGATGTGATTTGATATGAAAGTAAATCATGTGCACAGCAATCTCCCCTTCTCCCATGGATGGAGCCGGTGAGTGGCTTTTTGCCTGCATGCCTACAACAAATCACGAGGCAAATGAATATGTGGAGGGCCAGCACTGCTGTCTTGTCCCAGAGCCAGTGAAGGCGTGCGGCCTGATTTGGCACTGCTCTAATGATACTTTATTTAATCTACAATGCAGAATGGCTAAAAATCTGGCTAGTTTTTCATATGTGACAGTTTAATTTTAGATTATTTTAAGATGATTATAATTTAAATATTATTATATTTAATTTAAATTTTTATACAAGTTTATAATTTTTTTCAGTTATAACTAAAAAATTACATTGTAATAGAATTTAGGATTTATTATCGAAAATGTTATAAAAATGTAATATTTTTTTGTTGTTTTGAAAAATTATTTGTCCAATCTAAAAAATTACGTTGTTAATAACATTTCTATTACAATTGATTTTTTTATTTTTTAGTCTTATATTGTATGATCAAAACTTTACTAAAACAGATAAAGTATGTACCATTTATTTATTTGTGAGAATGATGTAAAAAACAACAATGTAAACTAGAATTTGAGACACTCCTTAGGATGAATATAATAAAAATGATTAAAATTGGTTTAATTGGATAAAATTAGGTCAATATTGAAATAGATGTTGTATTTGTATTAAAATGCAATTATTATTTTAATCAATCTTTGCATATTTTCAATTTCTATTATTTAATGTTTGATACTTTTAATAGTCATTTGATTTTTAATAATAATAATACTCTGATGTGATACTCGGATTTACTTCCACTTTTTCTTTTTTCATCACTATGCAATGCATTGCATGACGGATCTTAGTGAGGGCCCATAGGATTCGTCTCTTTTAAAATTTATATATTTAATATAATTTTAGTTTAATAGTATTTTGATTTATATAAAAATAAATATTTAAATTAAAAAATATATAATAATTTATTAAATATTTGATCAAGTAACGACTGAACTAAATAATGATAACCCTGTGTTCTCAAAATTTTTGATCTAATAATAATTTAAGTTACAAAGACTCTCAACTATTTGACAATGAACGTTCATACATTTACATGCACAATGCTCGAACTCGAGACCTCAAGATAACAATAATCCCTTAATCACTAAGATCATTTAATTCGTGTTAAAATTTGAATTTAAATACCTAATATACCTTTATAAATTTTAAATTATTTAATATTTTAATTCTAACTTCGTCCGCATGAAAATTGGGTATGACAGGCTGACGAAGAAAGAGTGGATATCACGTGGGAGAGGTGCCCAAATACACGTGTAACATCATGTGATGGATTTGCCACGTGTTGACATATGGTCTCATGATTATATTTAAAGATAGTATACGATATTATGTTAAGAGGATAAATTTATAAAATTTTAAAATAAAATAAATATATAAAATTTTTAGAAGATGATAAATATTAGAAAAAATATAAAATTTTAAATTTATTAAAATATAAAATATTTAAGAGAGATTATCATTCTCAATTTCCTATAGTACCATCCTTAAATTTGGCGCGTGCATGTGACCATGTGCACAAGGCAGCACACCTGGTCCAAGTAAGCAAATCGTTGAATTTTTCTTTGAAAACATTATTTTTGTTTTACTTACTATGCATCGTGTAGTTACTGATGAAGCTTTACTCGACCATGATTGCTAGCTCCAGCTGATTCAGAATTGAATGGGCAACGGAGCAATAAGCAGAGGAATATATACAATAAGAATCCGGTCATTCTTAAAACTGTGGTGTGAGGGTCCTAACAAGTATGATCAGGAATGAATTGAGATGACGTTTACGTTATTAAAAAATATTAAAATTTTATATAGTGTATGTATTTTTTATATCTTTTATTAATAATTTAATTTCATATTTTTATAACTTTGAAGTTCATACCTTTTTAAATTTATAATATAAACTTTTAAATTCGTACCTTTAATAAAAAATTATATATCCGTCTTTAAATATAATATTTATATGCGATGGCCTGTGTGAAGCTGCGGAGAATGAAGTCTGAAGAGGGAAGAGTGTGTGAGTTAGCTGGATTTATATTGAAGACGTACATGAACAGGAATGCCAGAATCACGTGAGGAGAAATAATTAATAAAACACAAGCTCCACGTGAGAGGAGAGAGAGAGAAAAAACTCACATACAAAAACATGTGCTGCATGCCACGTGCGTACAAAATCTTCTAACACCCACCTCTTTTGTCATTTAATATGGTGTTGATGCTCCATCAGTTCGGGTGGTTTCCGACCATCAGTTCGGGTGGTTTCCGACCATCAGTTGTTGTATCGTGAGCTCTGTAATATTCTATAGTGATTATTTTATGATATTTATTGCTTGAAGAAGACAAGGAGAAAAGAAGAAGACCAATCAAAAGTTTTGAGAAATTAAACCTGAACTAAAATGGTGTTAGGGTCATTGATTTATCGAGCCACATCAATTTTTTATCATCTATGTTATAATGTTAACGTTGAGTGATTGATTTGTTAAAAATCGATAAAATTAAGTATCAATTATTATATTTTAATTTAAGTAGAAAAAATAAAAAATTACTTAAACACTAATAACTATTTGTGTAAATTACCATTTTTAATATAATTAATATCTCTACATAATGCTATGAAAGAGATATGTGACGTTGCTTTATATGTTATCATATGATTTTTTTTTTATTTTTCATGATAAAAATGTAACAAAAAATGAAAGGCAAGAGAAACAACGTTATTTTTATATGAAGTTAAACTATTTTTTTTAATTCCTTTAATACAAAAATTATAATTCTTTTTCTTCACTATTGTCGTTGCATTTGATTCCTCCTACAGTTGGATCAATAATCACCACCTCTTTGTTATTTTTTGGGTTTAGATTTCTCTAAAAGGTTTCAAATTTCACAAAATTAAATCTAACAATCCAAACAAATTTTGTCTGATCTATATTCAGTGTAGTTGCATGGATCCACCGTTGGAGTATGTTCTTCGCCACGAGCTTTTCTCGCTTCACATTGTTTGGATTGAGCTGGAACAACCCTAAATTCCATTCTTCTTCTTCCGTGAATAATTCAATTTTACGGTTGCTATATAATCTTCAGCCTTAAGCCACTGCTTCAATATAGAATATAAGAGACTACCCTCAAGTCCCATGCACGTGTGAAAACAACAAACTAAAAATCCGGCACACTGTTGGTGGTGTGCCTTAAATACTGCTGTAAAATCACCTGATAATTTAATCATCATCACATTCAGCCATGGAAACAAACAGTTTAAAAAGAAAACAAAGATGAATCTACTTTCAACAACTCGATCAGATCCAAGAACAGAAGCACAGAAAGGCTGCTGCTTCGGAAACCATCCGAATTCATCATTTTTGCCTTTCAATACAGTAAAACAAGCAAGAAAAAACGATAGTTGAGAGGTTATAGAAATAAGAAGGAAATAGGAAGATAACCGGATTAGGTAGCTATTACGTGGTTTAAGTCCTCACTTCAGCAACCACACTGACCGAGAAGGCTATGACTGATGTGAAGGTTAGCGGCATTTTTTAGTTTTTAAGCGCCACTAATAACCCTTCTAGCGAAAAAAAGCCGCTAAAAGTTATGATCTTTCGCGTCATTTCTTTAAACGACGCTATTTATCTTTTTTTAGCGACGTTTGTTCCAAAAATGCTACTAAATGTTCTGACATATAGCGGCGTTTGTGAATGTAAAACGCCGCTATTGACTACGTATATAGTGACTTTTGCTATATAAGCGTCACAAAAAATCTTAAACTTTAGTGGCATTTTGTTTTACAAAACCAATATTGATTATGTATTTAGTGACATTTTATTATACAAACGCCGCTAATTAAAATTGATTTTCAAATGTTGCTTTTTGCTCTTTTATTACCGAAATTTAAAATTTTAACTTGTATCATTATCCAAAAAACTTGAAATCCATAACAACAAACTTGAAATCCATAACAATAAACTTGAAATCCATAATAATAAATCAAAGTTTACATTAAAGTGAAAATAATGTAGTTTAACATTGTTAACTATAATAAACAAAGCATATATCTAAAATAACACCTAAGATGGTGGATTCTGGGGTTGATTTTGTCATATCATCTGTATTATAGCTTGAAGTTGATTTTGAAAGTCTTCATTTTTTCTGATATGTTGTTTCTCTCCCTACTTCACTCGCTTTAGTTTTAGATTTCATTTGAGCAAAATTTTCATCCATTTGAGCCAATTGTTGTTTTAAACAATTAATTTCTTATTGAGAAGACTGGCTTGATGACATGTATCGAGATGAACTGGGTCTAAAATATTTGGTTGGGGTAACGAATGATCCTTGAAAGCAAACCCGACATTATCTTTCAGGACCCAAAACTTTATTAATAAATTGATTTTCGATCTCATCTGCATTAACAATACTATTACTTGAAGTCGTAGCTTCATACTCATCCCTTTTATCGCTCAATGCTTCTTAATAATCAATTCAATCATTGTTTTAAATAAAAATGTCATACTATAGATATAAATTTAAC